CCTGAATGAACTCAAAGGAGTCTAAGACTAGTAGCATTTAGAAAAAATGGAATGCTGTTCTACTAACAGAATGAGGGTGTAATTGTGATAAATAAAGGATGTCGTTTGGGACTTCGATTGAGTAATGATTTGAAGAAACAAAAAAAGGGGATTTCATGAATTGTACAAGGTTAAAATACTCACGTAAGGTGAATCACATTGGGATGCTATAAAATACGGTTATGGAAGTGATATTCCCCGATGAGACATAAGCCCTAACGACAGTGTTACATAAAAGGTCAAGTTATCAATGGTAGATTATAAATCAATATTGAGGTGAATCAACAATGGATGGATAAGAGTTACAAAATATGAGATAAGAGTAGGCCATCATTCTTAAGATGAACAGTAATGAGGAAGCATTAAAGGACTTAGATTTATACGTATATGATAAGTAGTGAAAGAGTAACCTGGGGTTTGGTAGCAGACCTCAGTAATGATAAATCGAAGTAATAGTTATGGTATAATATGACCTACCTAGATCCAGTAAAGTCGTACAGATGGATAACTGGATCTATGAAACAAGATATAGCAATATTCGTAAGTTCGACAAAGTACCAAGCGAAGAGCTTCAAGTTTACCTGTAGACACCCAGAGGGATAGCTTGTCATAATTTTATATATGTTCACAAAGTGAGGCCGAGATATTGGCTAAAAGCTAGAGAAAAAAAGAGAGAAGAGTCGCATAGGCACACTTACAAAGTCAGAATCGTACATGATACATGATAAAAGGTAGCAACAGTTACAAGATTGGAAGGATTCCGACCATGAGACGTGGTGTGAGAAAGAGGCCTAAGGGGGGAATGCCCTGGCTTTTGGATTTATTCATAGAATAGTTGCAGAGATGGCAAGAAGAGTACTAAAGTATTCAAAAGACATAGTTTTCAAATAATAAGTGCATCAGTCAACAGTCGAGGACAAATGTTCCAAAGGGGGGAATGATGTTACACCCCATGTTTTCATTCGTGGAAGTACGCCATAAGTAAATTTATTTATGCTTGGAAATGAGATGTTACATCCCGCATTTTCATATGTTAAAGTTTCGTCGTAAGTTAATCGAATGTAAGTTCGTGAATGAAATTATTTTGGAATTATAAGTATTAAGCTATTTCAAAAAAGTGATAAGTATATTCATGAAGGTGCGAGGGTAAGCGAATCGAAGAAAGTAAGTTCTGTCGAAGTTTGCCAAGTTGGGATAAAACACGGTCCGACTTATAATACCCGATATTTATGGACTAGTACCATACAAGGTACCACATGACCATGATAGTAAGGTGTATAATGTGTGATAAAAGTGAGTAGTATTTTAAGTAATTTGAGATAATTCTTAATTATGTGTATAATTGGATAATTAGTGACTATAGTGGGAGATTTACTAATTAATTAGTTTATTTGGATAAGTTTAATCATTCTCCTTAACGTGGCAGACCCAAGATTACTCTTAGTCATTAAAATAGGTGGCATGTAGGGGCCTTAAGGACAAAGATTAGTCATCCTAAAGTGGGGACCACTCTCTTTGATAAAGACACCAAGTCATTAAAGGGAAATGATATGTTTAGAATACATTGGGTTACAAAAAGCTCTTATGAAGTGAGATGCTCTTAAGAGCCAAGTACAAATGTTCCCATATCACTAAGAAAGTGAGGTGCTTATGTTTGCTAAGCTATCGGATGAAATCCACAAAATTCATACGAGACTACGTAGTGTAATAGAAACGGGATTTGCAATTCTAATGGATCCTGGTACAATCTCTTTCAAGAATATCATACGAATTTTTCCTTACTTCAATCCGCCGATACGTGTTATCGTAATTGACGTGTGTTAGAGGGATTGTCAAGAGAATCAGCTCAGGTATGTTAAGGCTATCCCTTCTTTCCTTTGGCATGATCTATACGATACAAACGAAACGAGCAAATGTACAATTTCCATAAATTACTCTATTCATAGAAATACTAGAGATGCATAAGTTATTAATTCCCATGTGTCATATTATTCTATCATCTGTTCATGCGTCTCAAAAAATACGTAAGTTGATAAAGTTTATTTCATGATACTAATCAAAGGCATAATGGTCCTATGACATTCCGAGAGATTTTATNACCACCTGATCAGCTGGTATACGTTGATAATTTTGCCCATAGTGGCCGAGATGATATGATGGGAGGTCCTTAGAGGCTTGATGATATTATGAACACATGTACCTGTGCACGATAGGATATTGATATGCTATGAATGATACTTTAAGTATTTCATGATTTACAGAGTTATCCAAACTTACAGGTCGAGTCATGTACTCCATGTTTCTTCCATGTCTTTTATATACTTATTTATGTGTCATACATACTCGGTACATTATTTGTACTGACGTCCTTTTGTTGGGGACTCTGCATTTCATGCCCGTAGGTCCCAGACAGGTCAAGAGTCCTCCAAGTAGGCTATCAGCTCAGCGGAAGATGTTGGTGCGCTCCATTTGCTCCGAAGTTACTTATTTGGTCAATATGATTTGGACGTGTATTGTTTAGTATGGCGGGTGTTATCCCGACCTTTATGATAAATATGCACTCTTAGAGGCTTGTAGACATATGTCATGTACATAAAAGAATGTATGGCCTTGTCGGCCTATATTCAGTGTACGAGTGATCATTTTGGTCTTATAGGCCTGTATATCTTATCTAAAAGTTGGTATTATGTGTTTTATTCTGGTTATTCCACGGAAGTCGTTCCATCTCATTTACCTATCAAAGCATGATAAGAAAAGATACATTATGTTGGTACTCGGTTGAGTAAGGTACCGGGTGCCTGTCGCGCCCCGTCGGTTTGGGTCGTGACAATATATCACTTGTTTTGTGAAATACCCATTTGGACTTGAGAAAGCCAAATTGCAAAATCACTCAAACTACCGAGAGTTATAGAGTGAGTAACCGGGTGTGATTGTTATATTGCCGGGGAGTTAAACAGATTTATCTATATATCTAGGTTTTTGTTTGTCTTCTTTTCCTTCCGAGTCACTAACTTTGTTTTTGAATTGATTATAGGTTCAAGAATGGCTCTCAACAATAATGATCCTCTTGGAAACGTGCAAATGGGGGAGGACGTGGATGATGACCAAGTTGATAAGGTTTCTCTTGAACCTCAAGCAAATAGATGAGGCCACCCGCCTTAAGATAATGTTCACATTCCACACCCACCTCCTCCAAGAGCAGCGGCACACTGGGTATTGCTGTATGAGGGTTATGCAAGTGCTATACTCCTGCCCCGCATTAGGGCAGGCAACTTCCAAATCACCAATGTGATGCTTACACTACTTGAGCAACAGGGATTCTTCACTGGGGCTCCGAGTCAAAATGCTTACAAGAATCTCAAAGGGTTCGTCGATACTTTTTGGGGGAGAAAGCAAACTAATGTCTCCGAGGATGCACTGTGGTTGAGGATATTTCCCTTTCTCTACGGGAAAGGCATTGGACTGGTTAGAGAGATTGCCCAATCATTCCATCCATACATTGGATGAGTTGGCGGAAAAAATCATTGTCAAATTCTTCTCTTCGGGGCATATGGCGACACTTCAAGATGAGATTCTTGCGTTCAAGCAAGAGCCCAATGAGCCATTGCATGAGATATGAGAAAGATATTGTACCATGGTTAAAGAGTTCCCAAATAATGATATGACCGAGTCCATGATCCAACAAACCTTCTACAAGGGGATCAACACAACAAATCAATATGTGGTAAATAAACTCGCCGGTGGGAACTTCATGAACATGCCTTATGCCGAAGCTTGTTAATTTTTGGATGAGTTGGCAGATACCTCATAGGCATGGAAAAGTAGAGCCAATATCCCTCAAGGTGACCTAAATGTCATTCACCTACACCGGGAACTACATTATTATGGGCAAGCTATTGCCGAGTTGACAAGTTCAAGGGCTGAAACAAGTGAATGCGATGGAAGGTGTGAATATGGTGATGAACAACAGACGGAAAAAAGGTCAACAAATGCAAAGCCATCCAGAACAATTCATGCAAGATGATAGTGGGTATGACCAAGGTTATTTATTTAATGAGCAACAAGAAGAAGTGCAATATGTCAACAATTATCAAGGCCAAAGAAACAATGCTCAAGGACAAAATCAACAACAATGGCAGTCACAAGGAAATCAAGGATATTTGAACAACCAAGGCTACCAAGGCAATTGGAGTAGTGGTAAAATAATCAAGACAATTGGAATAATCAAGGTAACCAATGAAATTGGGGAGGCAATAATCAAGGTAATTAGGGTGGAACAATAATAACCAAGGGAATTAGGGGTCGGGTTTTCAAAGGCCCCCGATATTTCAACAAATAAGCACTCCACCTCCCTATCCTTGTCAAGGTCCGATCTCTTCCAACAACGAGATGGGTAGAATTGAGAACATGTTTAAATAGATGATAGAGAAGAATGTCGAGTCTGATGCTCAACTAGCCTCTCACAACACTTCTATTCGCAATTTGGAAGTTCAATTAGGATAAATCTCGCAAACTTTGAACACTCATCCTAAGGGGGCACTACCAAGTGATACTGTGGTGAACCCAAAGGGAGGGAACAACACCGGACATGCTATGGCCGTGACTACAAGAAGTGAAAAAGGTAGAGATGCAACCATCTCAAATCAAAGAAGAGTTGTGGATGATGGTGTAGTGGTTCAAGAAAATGAAATCCAAGAAATGTGGTTCAATCTAATGAATAAGTGAGAATTGATATTGATGAAAATGTGGAGTAGACGCAACAAGAAGTGAACCCGTCTAGGGAACACGTAATTGACATGCCGGAACCGGTAGTGCCAAAAGCTAAGGCACCAATGCCAAGGACTCCTCCTCAATACCCTCAAAGTCTTGCTAAGAAAAATAGCGAGAACCAATTAAAAAAGTTTATTGACATGATGAAGAGTTTGTCTATCAATGTACCATTGGTTGAGGCTTTAGAGCAGATGCCGAGTTATGCCAAGTTCATGAAGGACTTGGTGACAAAGAAAAGATCAATGATTTGTGACACCATCAAGATTACACATCAAGTAAGTGCTATTGTGAACTCAATGGCTTCAAAATTGGAAGATCTGGGCGCTTTCACAATCCCTTGCACTATTGGGAGCGCCGATTTTGCCAAAGTTTTATGTGATCTAGGGGTGAGTATCAACTTGATGCCCTACTATGTGTTCAAAACTTTAAGTATTGGTAAACCAAGACCCACATCCATGAGGTTGAAAATGGTGGATCGTATAATGAAGAGACCTTTGGGTATTATCGATGATGTGTTGGTTCGTGTTAATAAGTTCATCCCCCCGGCGGATTTTGTGATTCTTGATTGCGAAGTTGACTATGAGGTGCTTAATATTTTGGGTATACCATTCCTTGCTACGGGGAAGGCTCTTGTTGATGTGTATGCCAGTGAGCTAACCTTCCGGGTGAGTGATGAAAAGGTGGTCTTCCATGTGTGCAAATCTGTGATGCAACCGAATAGCAATGAAGTTTGTTCGTTCTTGGATTTGGTGACCGATGTGATTATTGATGATTCTAGTGCCACAATGAATGTTGAGGATAATTTGGAAGTCATTTTGCTCAACCTTGATGATGAGGATGAGAAAGAAGGCTATGTGGAGTCTGTGAATGCATTGCAATGAATGGGGTCATACACTTATGAGCCTCGCAAGATATCCCTGGATCTTGAAAACCGGAAGACTCCTCCAACAAAGCTCTCAATCGAGGAGCCTCCCACTTTGGAGTTAAAGACATTTCCTCCACATCTCAGGTATGAATTCCTTGGCCCTTCGTCTACTTTACCAGTTATTCTTTCTTCTTGTTTGACTACCCTGCAGGTAGAGTCCACATTGGAGGTGCTACAAAGGAGGAAAAGAGCAACCGGATGGACATTGGTAGATATCCGGGGCATAAGCCCCACCTTTGGCATGTACAAAATTATTTTGGAGGAGGGTGCCAAACCTTCCGTTGAACATCAAAGAAGGCTAAATGAAGCAATACAAGAGGTGGTCAAGAAGGAGATAATCAAATTGTTGGATGTCGGGGTTACTTACCCCATTTTCAAGAGTTCATGGACTTCTCCTATGTAATTTGTCCCAAAGAAATGGGGCATGACTGTGGTTACCAATGAAAAGAATGAGTTGATTCCTACAAGAATGCTGACCGGCTGGAGGGTGTGTATGGATTATCGCAAGCTCAACAAAGTTACAAGAAAAGATCATTTTCCACTTTCCTTTCTTGATCAAATGCTCGATAGGTTAGCCGGACGTGCTTTCTATTGTTTTCTCGACGAGTATTCCAGCTACAATCAAATTCTCATTGTTCCAAAAGATCAAGAAAAGACTTCCTTCACTTGTCCGTACGGTACTTTTGCATTCTTGCGGATGCCATTTGGCTTGTGTAATGCACCGAAAAAATTTCAACGATGTATGATCGCTATTTTCACCGACATGGTGGAGGATATTCTTGAAGTCTTCATGGATGATTTATCCGTGGTTGGGAATTCTTTTGATGATTGCTTGAAAAATTTGGATAGGGTCTTAGCTAGATGTGGGGAGAAAATTTAGGTGTTGAATTGGGAGAAATGTCACTTCATTGTCGAGGAAGGCATTGTCCTCAGCCACAAAATTTCAAAGCATGGTATTTAGGTCGACAAGGCCGAAATTGTGGTGATATCCAAACTCCCCCTACATACGTGAAGGGAGTGAGGAGGTTCTTGGGTCATGCGGAGTTCTATCGTGGATTCATCAAGGATTGTTCCAAAGTGGTGAACCCTTTGTGTAAACTTTTGGAGAAGGATGCAAAGTTCCATTTCAATGAAGATTGTATGAAGGCATTCAAATTTTTCAAGTTCAAGTTGAATGCTACTCATACTATCACCGCACCAGATTGGAGATTACCTTTTGAGCTCATGTGTGACGCTAGTGATGTGGTGTTGATACCCAATTTTTCCCTATGTATTTTTATATACAAAATACTTTTAAAATAGCATATACAAACATATATAAGCATGCCCAAGAGTTTTAGTATTTTTTTCCTAATTTTTAAGATTTTAAAATCAATTTATTATCTATTTTAGCAGTATAAAGACCAATAATTACTTCAAAAATCATCAATTTTAGTAAATAATTTATTTTATTCCCATATTTATACTAAAATATAGTTAAGGTGATTTTTGTATATTTTTACAAATTTATTTGGTATTTAAAAGACTAATTGCATATAATTGCAATTATAGCCTACTTTAAGGTTAATAGCATTTTATAATTGTAAAATTGGGTCCAGTATTTTTAAATCAATATTTATATACTATTAATTGTTTCAGTACTTTTAATTTTCTTTTTAAAATCATCTTCACTATTTTTATAAAATAAAAAAGAAAATTGGCTATTTAATATTTAGCCCCATTTTTATTTCAATAACAGACCCATTACATTTCAATTGTAGCCCTTAAGTTGACTTAATTAAACCAGCCCAATTCCATTTGGACCCCACCCACGACCCAATTCCAAATGACCCGCCCGGTTCCTACTATTGATCCAAGCCGTTGATCATTTTGATCAACGGCCATAAAACACCCTTACCTTTTTTAACCCCAAACGACTACCTTAATCCCTCATTTCCCATCTCTTAGCCGCCTTTGAAATCTCTCGTCTCTCAAACTCTCTGAAACCATAACGTCCTTCTACCCCTCTTCAACCACCACTCCACCAGAATCCACGGCTTCTTAGGCCATGGATGGTTGGTACTCACTCCCCTCCATCAGTAAACCATGGTTGTTCGAAGCTTCGAGACCTGACCTCGATGGTTCTCCTTCAGATCCTTCTCAAATCTGTAGATTTATGGCTTCTCCGGCCATTACCCCGGCATGTTCAAGCAATATGAGTCTTTTTGACTCAGGATATGACTTTCCTCAAGACCTTTCTCATTTCTAGGGTTTTCTCTGCAACTCTAAGCCGTCTGAGGTTCTGTACTCGCCTATTTTTTCTTAGATCTGTGATATGTCTGGGCTTTACTTGACATTTTAAAAGGTTTTCCCCCAAATTTCTTTTTCAAAATCGCTCAATTTCAATTTTAGGGTTTCTGGAAAAGTTTCTTCAAATATCTTTCCGATTCTTTCTGTTCTTTCTTCATGTGTCTTTACCTATGTTATACTCGTATGCTTTCTTTTCTACTATGCTTGAGTTTGCTCTCTTGTTTCCTTTCTATTATACAAGATTCTTCTACTTTTATTGTTATTCATGTACTCACATGTTAATCCGTGTTATGTTTTCCTTACTCTTCTACTATATGTGTTTACTGTGAGTTCTTTGATGTTGTTGGCTTTACTAGACTATGTTTGTGTTCTTACTAAGCATGATTCATCTATTTTTGCCTAAGTTTGTATCACGTTTTCTTCTGAACTGGTTTAAGTTCTGAGTTTTTTTTTTCTCAAAACGTGTTCTCCATGCTCTTAACTGTGTATCGTGTCTGTTTGTTTCTCATAAGTCTTTGGAAAAGACTTCTAAGCCTCTATCGAGTGGCTTGCCTTTTCATCTTTATTGTCTGATTCATCGTGAAACCCCAGTATTCAGGGTTTCCTTTGGCAATTTTGATTTTTGTGTTTGAATTAGGGTTCCACTTTGGGACCCTGGACTCTCAGACTCATTGTGAGTCTACAAACGGGACTTGCAACCTTTCTTGCTTATGATTCTGAACCTTTCTTTGATTAAACTCTCTTCTAAATAAACTTCTTGAATCACATATTTGTATGCTTTTATATATGAGAACTCTTCTTTCAAAAGGTTTTTATCGACTAATTGATTGATTTTTAATTCTTTTTAATGAGTCCTGACTGATTGTTACTGATTCTCTCTAATTGAACCTTCTTTACCTTTCCTGACTTGGTTCGTTCGAGATTAAACCTGTAACTTTGATTTCCCTGGCTGTTTGATTGATTCTCTTTACTTATTTTTCCCAAGCCGTGTACCACTGAGCTTTTCCTTAAATAAACTTCTATGTATTTACCCCTTTTGTGCTACTTTGAAAAGGTTTTAATCAAAATTTCTTTCCTTAAATGTCTTCTACCCGTTTGAAATCAAATCCCTTAACTGAAGGGAAATTCTATGTGATTGATTGCAAGTTATTTTCTTACCTTTCTTACTTGCTTATCTGCACTATAAAAGTGACTACCCTTCCGAACTTTTAACACACTTCCAATTCAATACTTTTAAGACAACTTCGAGTTCAATACCTCGAACTTTTAGATCAATACTTTCAACTTACTTACACACTTTATTACTTTGAGTTCAATACTCGTACAACATTCTGCTCTTTTCTGGGATCTCTTGGAACTTTTGCTTGCAACTTGGCATTTTCAAGACTACTTTTATTTGTTTGTTTTCCCTGAAACTGGTATGTTCTAATTTAGCTTTCCTGCCTCACCCCTATGTGTTTATTTACAGTTTTTTGGAATCCTGTTTACTTTGTTGTGCATGATTAATGTTAACTATGTGTGTTCTTTCCTTGCATCTATTTTCTGTTATGAATCCCTACCTCTATTCCCTTCTATGTGTTTGAGTTAAGGTTCATGGCCTGGCAATATCCAAATTACTGCCTAGTCCAAACCTAATCCTCAATGGATCCTAATTCCCAATTTTGGCTGACAGGCTGGTTATGGGTGTGCCAGCACTCTTAAATTGCTGGGGCATGACCACCAGCCTGCCATGGCCTTCCCTAATCCCCCTCTATGCACATATACTTACTCTTAGATTCTATGTTCTGTCCCCCTCTTATGAGCCATGCTTTGGGACCCTGAGCTCCCTTTGAACTTGGACATTTGAGAGCTGACTCTTCCACATTGCACTATGATCTAATTCTACAGTGTGTTTGGGGTGTACGCACCGCCCTGAGTCCCTTTGAGACTCTCGGAAACTTGGACACATCCCAAATAAGAGAAAGGTTTTTTGGAAAATGGATCCTGGAAGTTGGTTCATCCCATATTGCTAGACCTTGAGTCTGAATTAGGCTGTTTGGTTGCAGCTGGAAGTTCTGATGTACTTTTTTTATTCATTTGGGTCTGTAATAATTTGTAATAACTATGAGGTTCTAGTGAAAAAGGATATGGGTAGACAGCATGCTCATAGGGATTACTACTTACAAATTATGCATTTATGCATATCATATAGTACTCTTGCCTATAAGTTATTTCATTACTGCATTAGAAACCATGCCTATAAGTTTCTGCATATAGAAATCATGTATAAGTTTATGCACGTATGCATTTAGAAATCCTGCCTATAAGTCATGCATTACACGTAGAAATCTTGCCTATAAGTTGTTTCATTACTGCATTAGAAACCATGCCTATAAGTTTCTGCATATAGAAATCATGACTATAGTTTTGTTTCTGCATTTCTGCATATTCAAAAGTCATTAGGCAAATACTTATAGGTTAAAAAATAACAAAATGCATCCTAAATACCATGTCTATAGGACTCCTGCACTTTCATAATCGTTTTAAAATCAATAACGCTTAGAAATCATGCCTATAAGAGCAGTCGTCTGAATTTGATTCGTCTATTTTATCTAAAATCAATAATAATGTTTGTTTAATATCTGCAGAATTTAATTGGTTCTAAAATCAATAACACTTCTTTAAAATCAGTATACTTCCACCTAGGTAAGCAGTAGGTAATTGTTTAACTGTGTCAGTTTTAATAAACTGCAACCAGACAAGGCCTAATTCAGACTCCTCATCTGAGAAATATGTGATGAAGCAGCATGTCCTAACGCTTTAAATTTAATTCAGACTATAACCAGTATTTGAATTCATGCTAAATAATTTGCTCCTTTAAGAGAGGAGGCCTGTTTGAGCCCTTAAACTGCTATTTGTTTCCCCCTACTTGCTTATGTG